ACCAAAAATACAGTGGTAACAGTTACAGAAACTTTTACAAGTCAGGTCAATGTTGAGTAAGACCCACTAGAGGTCCCTTCCAACCCAAATGATTCTAGTTTCCTGTACTGAATAAGCAAAGATTATTTGGGCAAAGCATCATAAATTTCATGCACTTCTTCACTGCAGAGTTTCATATCAATATCTTTACTCAGCCCAGAAAACAAAGCAGGGGAGCTTGTTTATTCCATTTGTTTTTCTTCTTTTACAACCTCGTTTATAAAACCCCCATTCTCATGACCAGCACGATTTGTTTTTTTCTCAAGAAGAATGATTACTGGGGATCCACCACTGTGGCATTATTTTTTATTGATTTTTCTCGTTTAAGCAACAGGCCAATGTAATATATTCTGTTATTCCTGTTTTACATTTATTCAGGCTGGGAGCTTTGAGCTACCACTTACAACTGCAATGTGTAAACTAGTCAAAAGAGAACAGAAGTTTCTGTGAAAACCAAAGAAATTGTTCACCAGGAGACTTTCCTTCAACTCTTCAGCTGTCTGATTTCACAAAGGTAAAACCCATTGCAATCGCTTCTTACAGCAGCATGGTTTCAGCTTCGCTCACTCCTACAAGCCAGCCAAAGCAGACTTGGAAAAGCAAAGCCACTGACATGCAGAAATGACTCAAAGCAAGATGGGCTGGCAAGTGCCCATGAGTCCCAAAGCCGAAGCCCTCTGGGAAGGTTGACCTGCAGCACAGTGCACACTGCATGATGCAGAGACAAAGTAGTATAGACATAGGGCACAAGGAAGACTTTCTACTAGGTTGCGAGGCTTAACTAGCATTTGTAAAGTGGTTTGAGATCCTACATAAAAATATTTACTGAAATAAGCTCCAGAAAGTACAATTTGCCTGACCATTCAGTCTGCTTCTGTCCTCAAATCTGCAGGAGATTAGCAAATCCAGAGTGCGGCAGAATTGGATAAATTAGAGATGAGCAGGACGTACCAGGTGATCTTATCCATCCCTCTGCTAATGTAAGATCGTTCCTACAGTGTATTTTCAAGCACTTTGTCCAGTCCAGTTTGAAAATGACCGAAGTGATGGGAGACAATACCAGAGCCTATTAGATCCCACTACTGTGAGATGTTTCATGATATTCAGCCTAATATCTCCTTTGCTTTACTTTAGCCCATTACTGCTAGTTATGCCCCTGAAGGCTATTGTAAACAACAGATATAATTTTCATCTAAAACCACAGAAAATGTTCATCTAATCACAGCCCTTCACTTGGGCAGCAAGAGAGGACAAGGTAACATCACTGGAAAGAAACACCGGAAGGAAGATCCGGAGTGTGAAGAAGATGGGAAGGTGCTATGCTACGCCTTGCTGCTCTCCAGCGCTCCCTCCAGCTCAATGGCAGCATCCTTCACTGGGATGTTCATACCTGCAGAAGACCTGAACACAAGCAAGGGATGGAAAGCCAGGAAGGCTGCACCTGAGGGTCCACCCATGAAGGTGAATGACTTCCTTCAGTCAGTGCAAGGAAATGAAACACAGCATTACCGTCTCTCAGCAGATAAAGCACCAAGAGGAACACCTTTAAATAAAAAGTAAATTTGTCGCAGGGAAAAAAAATGTTGCTGGCAAGACAGGGACATGACCCCATAGAGGATGTCCCCTGCCAGCCCCAGAAGGATACACTCACGTGTGCAACTGTCCATGCCAATGGTGTATTTGTATTTCTGGCAAGATGACCCTGCCAGAAGACCCTATGGGAACATCCCCCAACCCATAGTAGCCCCATGCCAGCAGATACACCAAGCTCACAAGAAGACTTCAGATGAGGTTAACCTGATGACCCCAGAGATACTCACAGATTTGACTGAAACCTTGCTGCTCATCACCAGTCCTGATGTACTGCTGGCATCCCAGTGCATGCGAGTCTGCAGCCCCTCGCCAGCATGGTCATGGAAATCCTCCCCTTTACAGATGTTGCTTGTAGCAATTTAGGGGGACTGGCTTTAGGTACTGTGAAGCTTGGCAACACCAAAGACACACTGCGATACACCATGCTCGCTCAGCTTCTCTTAAGCCAACTGGCTTTCCAGCAGACACTGTCTTTAAAAAGCCTGGGAATGGGTGGGTGATGAGGTAGGGGGAGCACTCGATAGCTCACTGTGAAATGAGTTTTTCTTTTCTCGCCTCTTTTACCATGGAAATTAATTCTCCTCCTCTGTGTTATCGCTATAATTTTCCCAATTAACATTTTTAATAGTAAGTATTTTCTAGGAAATGCTGTAATACACAGGTGTGTGCTTCTAATTTAAATACTGACACCCATGCTGTGTTCACATCTGAATACCACTCCTTCTTGCCAGAGATTCCCTCCCCAAACAAGAGGGGAACACCTATGGCGCCACACCACCAGAGATGCCTCAGCGGATTCGTGGGGCGGCTGTTTCCATGACAGATGCACGTGTCGGTGCTGCGCTGCGCCGCACCACATGCGGCGAGGAATCTCATTTTTTATACTTCCCCTTTCCCTGAAGGTGCTACAGCCACGGGATGTTGGTCGGACCTCAGGGACCCCCAGGGACACCCTGTCACTCCAGCCAACAGCTTCCTCCGGCAGCGCCACGTCCCCCTTCCCGCCAGCCCAGGAGCGCTGGGAGCAGATACTTGCTCCCAGGAAGCCCTCACGCCTGCAGATGCAGAGTTGTGCTGTGAGCTCCTACAAACAGAGTAATCTGGGAAGGGTTTATAATTACTCGTATTTTTTCTTTTTATATTATCCCAGCTCCAAAAATCTTACCTCTGTCTTGGATGTTCACCCACCACCACATTATCTGAGTATCATGTACTTTCTATCACTTCACCTTCTGTTTGAGAAAACACTATCAAAAGTACTTTCTTTAAAAAAAAAAAAAAAAAAAAAAAAAAAAAAAAAAAAAAAAGATAAATTAGTATTTATAAGAGTATTTATAAGTAAAAGTTTGAAGTTAAAAATTAAATTTTATAATTAGGAAAGGAGAATTAATTTTTTTTTCTCTTCTGAAAGGACACATTACTATGTTACATCATAAAAACCCACACATTACCAAGGAAAATAAAAGTTCAACTTAGAATAAATAAAGAATGCAGCAGCCAGAGCTACAAACCTCCCTACCTTTATTTCTAGTTTGCATTTATTTCAGTTTTGGCTGCTTCCAAAGCAGATATTTAAAATTTTGAGAACCTCAGACTATACTGACTGGGCTGCATGCTGCAGGTCCACGCAGAGACAAGGACGCTGTTTTTAAAAACCAACGTAAGAAAGCCAACCAGTTGAGATCACATATTTCATAGTATATTGAAAAAATATTCAACTAAGAAAGTTATCAAAGTCTTCTAGGTTCTTTGCTAAGTTCAAAGGTTTATTTCTTTGGAAATCCTTACACACTGTAATCAGAATCTTCTCATTGATTTACTAATGAAATCAGCTTTTAGAATATGTCTGAGCTTGTGAAGGCACTCAGGATGGGTAATTTCAGAGTACTTGCAAGATAACAGGTTTCTAATGCCCACTGAATTGCAACCGACCTTTTCAATGCTCTGCAGAAGAGATCCCAGAATTTCATGTTGAGGGTGTTTAGGAGGGGTTTTTTCACCGTTCTGCCATTTAGAAGTTAAATAAGACAAAATACAATACACGTAGAAATAGAGAAAAAGAGCTTGCTGTCTATGGGAGGGCAGTCTCTCTCATCTGGACCTTCCTGACTTACTCCTGACACAGCCCATGCCCAGCGGGTCATGCAGCTGGAGCAGGACCAGCAGAGGCTCTGTGGGAGCTGCCAGGACACATGGGCAGAGAGCAGGGACAGCCCTGGGTACTGCAAGGATGGGGTCCTGCAAGGATGGCGGCCGTGGTGGGCATTGGGCAGTGGACCACGCCAGGGCATGCAAGCCCAGGGTGCTGGAGAAAGGCTGAGGGGACAACAAACTTTGTGTGGCCAAAACAGGCCTCTGAAAGGGGAAAGGTGAGGAAGGAGAACACATTTTCTGTAGCTTATCTGAATAAACAGAAAAGGGGAAAAAAATACCACATGAATACTTGCAGGGGGAAGTCTCTGTTCGTTTCATGAGACCCTGGCTTTCTCATCTGTTTTGCTCCTTTGGCAGCCAAAATTAAACCGAACCCTACAAAGCAGTTAGAGGAGAACAGAAACCCTCAACACTTGGGGAGCAGACAGCAGCAGCACCAGATCAGAAGACTGACGGTGGAAGAGAGCACAGGGAACAGCCAGGAGGGAACGGGCAAGGAGAGCCCCGAGCAGTAGAGATGGCATTAAAAACGCCCCGGCACAGGCTCCGGTAGCTCTGAGCGAAAATAAGTCTCCAAACTGTGTCAAGATGTTCCTCCTCTGAAGATACCAAGTGAAAATTGTGATTTCACAATTCACATGGGAGACGCCATGCAAAGCGGAAGAGAGGGGAAAAGGAGTGACCAACGGGTGGTTGTCTTTTATTTTGTGGTTCATTTCTCAAAAGCTGCTGCTTCCCCTTTTCTTTTTTTCCTCCTTAAAGGAGGGAAACTTTAAAAGAAATTGCAGAAGGCAATTAAAAATATAAAGTAGCATACTGTATAAAACAAGCACGTGGGAGAACTCCTAATGGCAAAACATCAAATGTCTGAGTCCTAAAATGTTGTGGGGGTTTTTTTCCCCACGCTGCACTTTGTTAACACGTCCCTCACACGCGCGCCCAGCTGCTGTGGCGAGCTCAGTGGCAGGGACGGGAAATCTGGAGCCAATGGGGAAGGGGGGAATATCAACCTGTTATCTATTTTCATTATTTCTGGAATGTTGCAATTGAATGATACTAACGTTGTGTGCTAATGGATGGTTCGGCACTGGCGTTGGAGAGGCCCTTCCAGACACAAACACTGCAAAGATCCCCCCATGTTCAGCAAACACATGCGCACAGAGACATACCCAGTGCCATTTATCCCAGCACTCAAGCTACGGGTCCACAGTCCCCTATTTCCCAAACTCTTTCTTGATCAGTGTCATAGCTCGTAGCTGCACACAAAAAGAAGATACCTCAGTTACCTCAAAAGCAGACACAAAAAGTCAGGCTTTTAGGTCTGCAGGCTCCTAAGGAGAAGACAGAATCTGCTCTGTTTGCCCCAGACAATTCAGCCAAGATTCCCCGGGGCCTCACAGTCAGGCTAATGAGAAACTCCCCGGCAACTCCCATGTAAAATGCTTTCATAGGTCTTTAAAATGCCTTAAATTCTCTATATATTTAGTAAGACTTTTTACTTCTTTAAAATGTCCCTTGTTGCTCCTCAAGATAATACTCTCGTGATGTATTACAATAGCAATGCAGCATTGTCTGGCTGGACCCTTGCTTTGCAAATATTGAATCTTATTTTCCTCTTGGCTTCGAAGCAGCAGAAAACCCTTTTGCAAAGCAGAGGCGGGCACTTGTCTGGCCCCCCAGCAGCCCTGTCCAGCCCACCCTCTACTGACGCTTTTGGAGAGAGACGGATGGGCTTCAAAGGCTGCACGTGCTGTTACGAGGGAAAAGCAGGGGGAAGGAGTACTCAGCTGTGCTCTTCCTCTGGGACAGAAAACGTCTCTGCCTCTTACACAGCAAAACACTACTGACCTACTATTTAACAGCAAGCTAAGTCCTCAGATTAAGAGAGGAAGGAAAAGCTTTTTTTCTTCCTTTTACATTAAGGAAAAAAATGTTTACAAGACCTGAAAAGGAAGGAAATTCACTATATGCCCATTGTTAAACAGGGCTGGTGGACACCCAGATTATTTACCCTGGCATGAGGGCAGCCTCGGCCTCCTTATACATTTTCCTGATTCTCTAGGTTAATACATACAGCCTTTAAGTTGTGGTTATGAAAAAAAAAATTGTAAAACTATTTCTAGCTGTATTTAAAATACTTGAATAAATTCCTCAGTGCAACTACGCCAAGGGTTGGATTCCTGCAAAGCATTTCACCTTCACAGGTTTTACCAGGAACGAGCAGTTAAACCAGAACAGACAGCAACTTGCGCACATACTCTACCATAGGAAAAAGGATGGTGCCCTGTGCTAAGCCATCACCGAACAGACCTGTCCGAGCGCAGGATTTCTGTTGCCAATGTGTCCACTGCCAAATTTCCATGAGCTGCACTAAGCAGCTCCCATGAGCAGCCCCTCGCCCAGTGCCACGGTCCAGTCAGGGATGCACAAACCATGCACCTTCACTGCATTTCAGCAGCAGAGAAGACCACCATGAGACACAGAGCTTGGACCCCAGTGTTTGACATGTCTTGCCCTGCACCTACAAACCCTTACGCCTGACCTGGGGACAGACAGCTGTCACAGCTACCTGGACAAGCCCCATGACTGCAGATTCAACTCATAATCACAAAAAAAATTTCTGGTATAACTTCTACTGGTTTGATGAACAAAATAAGATATAGCAGCAAAAGCATCTTCTCTCCCCACAACTGCACCTATATAAATATTTTGCTAGTATTAAAAAAAAAAAAAGTTAAAAAATTACATTCTACCTGCTCTTGCTGTCCCTACATACCACACCACCCCGGGACCGCCACTCCCCCGGCCCACAGCAGCTGCGCAGAGTGCCAATAGATTTTTTCAGAAGTCGCTTTGTATGTGTTTGCACACACACAGAGATGTACAAACACATACAGGAGAAGAAGGGAGAGAAATATGTTAATGTGAAACATCTGGCAAATGTTTCAGAGTTAACAAGTCCCGGGTTTGGCCTTTTGGTTTTTTCTGTTGGGGGGGTCAAGGAAGGGGAGGTGATTTTGTCATTTTGGGCCAGGGAAGGAAGGGGCACGAAACGAGAAGTTGAAGTGTGTTTTTTCACCCTTTATTGAACTTCAACATCACACTACTGGAGCTAATGCAAACAGGAAGATCATAAAAGAACATAATGAAAGTCTCGCACACTGGGACTGAGGGACTGGTTTCAGTTACTGAATGTAGCTTTGGAGGCACACCACACAAGAGCCAGTGACTCTATTCAGCCATACTAGGGCTTTTTCAGCTTTTTCTAGGTAGTTCCTCAGTCATATTCCAGCCTTCAACCTCTGTCCCATGCACTGCGCCCTGTCTTGATAGGATATTGTATTGCATCTTTATACACATGCAAGATTGACATCTGTAGCTACTAAACATATTAAGAGGAAAATCCCCCAATTAGCACATATTTTCCTTAAGCTGCCATAAATCATGCATACAATACGTCTTATCCCACATCCGTCTTGAATGGGAGCTGTAATTATGGGTGTAAATGAAGAAAAATGGAGGAGACTCAACTGATTTGGGAAAAATCTTTCACAGGCTGTCTTTTACTTACAACGTAGTCATCAATACCATCCAGAAATCCCGAAGTAACTCCCACTCTGCACAGAAATGATTTGTTGTTGTTGTTGCTGTTTTGAACCTCAGCCTGTGTTAAATTTAATACAATTCAAGACTTGTGATAGATAACACCAGTAACTCCACTGCTGTTTGAGACGAAGGTCAAGCAAGAGAGCCAGTGAGTGCTCTTTTCATGCACCGTTAGCTCCAGGCACAAAGGGGCCTTCGACATCGCAGCTGGAGGTTTGCTGCAGCAGCAGCAATATTTGCTATCAAAGACTAGTGAAAACACAAACCGCTTAAAACAGCCGTAGCGCCCAGAGAAGATGCACCCAGCGCAACTGAGAGCACAGTTGGTACAAACTGAAATGTCACAAAGTACCAGACAAAGGCAGTTTATGCCTTCAAGACCAGCTAGATGCTGACTTCAGTAACAAAAGTCTCCTGTGAGCCAGTCTCCCTGTGACTTTTATAAAACCCATACTAACCAGGAATGCAACACCATTGCTAATTTTCATATTACTGCTCAGTTTCTGACCTGTTTTCACGTCGCTGCTGAGCTTCTAAGAGAATACCGTCGCACAGTCCAGTATGAAGAGAACACAGAAATAGACTTATTGGCTTCAAAATCAAAAATGTTCTGAGAATTTCATAAGTGTTAAAGACATAATAGACAGTAAAATATCTTTACACAGGGCACAAGCAGTGACTGAGATGTCGTTAGTTACTTTAAATGTAAACTAATCTGACATTTACCCTCACATTTGTATTATCAATACATATTACACAACTACAGACAAACTTGCTTTATCCTGTTCAGTTTCTTGAGCCTCTTTTTATTCAAATTATCAGTGTAACACAGGTGAACAAGCCCCAAACACATGTTTAAGCATTATTACTATCAAGCGACCAAAAGCTGGTTCAAATGTTAAATCTTTCTACCATGGCGTTGTACCACTTTTTATTCTCCAGCCCTGACAGTACTTTCCAATTTCCTCCAAGAGGAGAAATACACACATTCCAGTTGAGACCGAGGTTTAAAATTCCTATTAAAGCAGCTTTTATGTAATTAGATTGGAATGAATGTGCAACAGTGCCCATTGCAGAAAACTTCAAAGTGGTTATACTGGAGAAATCACAACCCGTTTCAGTATGCCCACAAGAAGAAAGAATGGCTCTCTGGAGGATAAGAGTATATTAGTCTTTGTATGTAATAGATTTTATTGACCATATGGAACTGATATAAAAATTGTGTTGCAGTGGGTAGTCTTGGATTTGAGACAGGAATGTGACATACAAAATACAGTTCCTGCTAAAAGCCTGGCAGCTTTCTGGCAGTTTTTGCAATCAGGAGAACCTAAAATATTTACCTGATTGAGTCACTGATGAGTCCCAGGTCAAAGCAAAATCTGAAGATTCACCCTCTTCAACTGAAAAAGAACAAAAATAAGTTGTGATTGCTAAAACAAACCAACTGGAAAGCAAAGCCATCAGAAAACTAGGTCCACTATGACATTAAGTATTAAAACAGACTTCTGCACTGGTGAAAAAGAACTTACTGCTTTCTATTAAATAATTCATAAGCTGAAAATTTAA